AGCTGCATGCATGCATGCATGCATGCATGCATGCATGCATGCAGCCAAGCCCCAAATCTCTGCCCCAAACGCATGCACGCATGCATGCATGCATGCATGCATGCATGCACGGCAGCAAAACTAAAGCCTGCGCGCAGCAGCAGCTGCTGCTGCTGCAGACCCTCCGCTAGGCGGCAGCGCTTATCTCATCCCCAGCTTCTCCCGTGGCAGCAGCTTCATTTGCTGCTGCTGCTGCTGTTGCTGCTGCAGCTGCTTCAGCCGTTGACCCGACCGGCAGCTGCTGCTGCTGCTGCTGCTCCTCTGCTGTGGCTGTTGCGGCGCGAACTTCGCAGCTGTGGCTTGCTGTGTCCCCACACGGCTGCTGCTCCTGCTGCTGCTGCTGCTGCTGCTGCTGCAGCTGCTGCTGCTGCTGCGGGTCTTCCAGCGCAGCAGCAAACAGCGACTCGGACAGAGGGTGCTGCTCCTGTGCATGCGCAGCAGATGCTGGCGCTGCTGCTGCTGCTGCTGCTTCGGGGTCCCCTTCGGGTGACCCTGCTGCTGCTGCTTCTGCTGCTGCCAGGTTATCTGCTGCTCCTGCGCCATCTCCTGCTGCTGCTTCTGTTGCTTCGTTCGCTGCATCTGGAACTGCTGCTGCTGCTGCTGCTGGTGCTGCAGCTGGTGCTGCAGCTGCTGCTGCAGCTGGCGACCCTGCTACCGTCTCCTTGGGGGCAGCATCCACGCCAGCTGCTGGCTGCTCTTGCTGCTGCTGCTGCTGCTGCTGCTGCTGCTGCTGGTCCGGCAAGGGTGCCCCCAGAAGCGGCTGCGCAGCGGGCGCTGCTGCAGCAGCTGCTGGCGGGGCGGCTGCTGCTGCTGCATCGAGCGGCGCAGCAGCAGCAGCAGGGACCCCGAAAGCAGCAGCAGCAGGGACGAGGCCCTGGTTGAAGTGCAGCAGCCCCGAGGCCATTTGCTGCTGCATTCCGAGCGCCGAAGCAGCAGCAGCAGCAGCAGCTGCTGCTGCAGTGGCAGCAGGATCGCCGTGCTGGTGCTGCTGCTGCTGCTCGTGGGCGGCCGGCTGCGCAAGTGCCGCTGCTGCTGCTGCTGCTGCTGCTGCTGCAGCGCCGTCCTGCGGGGCGCCGTTCTCGAGCTGCTGCTGCTGCTGCTGCTGCTGCAGCAAGTCGAAGTTGGGCCGCTGCACCAGCAGCACCTTGATGATCCGCATCAGCTGCGCATGCGGCAGCTGCTGCAGCAGCTGCTTCTTCGCTATTGAAGGGTACAGCAAGTTTAAATAAAATACCAATTCCTTCAGTCTTGCTGCATTAAACACAAACAGCACATGAGCTTCCAAAGCGCACAAAATCTCCGACAAAAAAGAAGCAGCAGGAGCTGACAGGAGGCCCCCCGCGTTGGGGGGCCCCCCGGGGCCCCCGGGGGCCCCTGGGGCCCCGGGGGCCCCTGGGGCCCCGGGGGCCCCTGGGGCCCCGGGGGCCCCTGGGGCCCCTGGGGCCCCCGGGGCCCGGGGGGCCCCTGGGGCCCCGGGGGCCCCCGGGGCCATGGCCCCAGCCCCCAGGTACCCCAAGCCCAGCTGGCCCAGCTGCTGCTGCTGCTGCTGCTGCTGCTGCTGCTGCTGCGCGGGAGAGGGCAAAGGCAGCTGGGAGGGCTGCTGCGCAGCAGGAGGCAGCAAACCCACTGTGCTGCTGCCTGAGGAAGCACTTAGGCTGCCGGCTGCAGCAGATGGTGCTGCTGCTGCTGCTGCTGCTGCAGGCGCTGCTGCTGCTGCTGCTGCTGCTGGGTTTGCGCTGCTGCTTTGAGCGTTGGCGTTCCCCTCGGGCGTGGCGACTGGCGCTGCTGCCGGCGCTGCTGCTGCTGGCGCTGCTGCTGCTGCTGCTGCTGCTACCGCTGCTGCTGCTGCTGGAGCCAGGGCCCCCGGAGTGCTGCCTAAAGGGGGAATCCCAGCAGCAGCAGCAGATAAGGAAGTCTCTAGAAAGTTTCGGAGAGAGAACAACAAGAAAATAATTATTTCTTTATAAAGGCCCAAACTGTCTGCTCCGGGAGCAGCAGCAGCAGCAGCAGCAGCAGCGCCCGGCTGCTGCTGCAGCTGCAGCAGCCCCAGCGTGCCCGCGGGGGCCCCCGCGCCCGGGAAAGCGCCCCCCAGGCCTGCTGCTGCTGCCACAGCAGCAGCGTTGTTTGCTGCTGCTGCTGCTGCAGTGCCCCCCGAAGCAGCAGCAAGCTGGGGGGCCCCCATCAGCTGCGATAATACCCCGCTGCTGTCCGAGGGGGCCCCCAAAAACCCGGGGGGCCCCCCGAAGGGCCCCACCCCTGGGAAGCCGTCGACTCCAACTCCGAACTTGCCCACGGACTGCATGCATGCATGCACAACTAATTAATTAATTAATTAATTATATTTATTTATTTATTTATTATTTATTTATTTATTTATTTATTTATTTATTTATTTGCTGCTTGGTAGTGCTTGCATTCAGCGGAGCTGCTGCTGCTGCAGTCAGCGGCGCTGCCCCAGGCA